TTGAGACCACTAGTTTGAACGGATTTCCTCCAAGATGAATGTTGGGTGATGATTTTAGCAGCAGGTGACACGGATTGTTTGGGTTTGGCATTATTTAGCATACCATAATAATAGTTCCTCTGATGCGCCGGTAGTGATTGGAATATAACCCCAGTGACTTCAATCTCCCTGCGTATGAATAACGATTCAACCCACTGACCATTTTGGTGGTCATCCTTTGTGGACGCTCCAGCATTTTACAATCACGTTGTAGTCATGGATTCCATGCCTGGATGGCGTACTCTGTGAGTGGGCACATATATACTGATAGCAGACGGGGGAAAAGAGCGGTCAAAAACTATTTCATTTTTGGCTGACGATAATTCGTTTCTCGTTTCAACACCTGGTGATGTGTTGTTCACTTCTGACTAGGAATATATTAGGCCCTAATCTGTCGGACCTGTTTTCAGATAAGACAGAACAGGTGCCATCTCGTCTTTCAGAATCATATTTTTGCATGATCCTCTTTTTTTGTTAATTCGTGCTTGATCACATTTACTTCACCTAACGAATAAACACTATAGCAAAGCAATAATAAAATAGCCACCGGAGAATTTCTGTCGCATTTCAGATGGCGACTGACAACTTGGGGACATTTGTAAACTCACACTTGATTTACTCGGGAAGTCTGTAGAGGTGATTGCACTACTTTGGCCGGTGCATGCAGATGCTTATTGCGGGAGAGAGCAGAGAAAGCCTCAACGTCGAGAAGAGATTGGGGATCTGTTTGGAAATTTACTTTCACAAACGACCATATTACCTATCCACCACGCCACCCTCTCCCACAAGCTCTTGTGATCAGGGCAGATTCTAACCACGTTTTCGTACCTCATATACGGTAGTTACCATGACAACAGACACCTCTGATCATCGGACGATGTGCACATTATCTTCGCACTCAAGCGATTTTTCATACACGTGATTCCCACCGTATCAAAATGTTTGCGTCTCTCCGGTGGTCAGTAGCAGTTTTTTTTTAAACTTCACAATCCTATCGTGCAATCCTATATTTGCATCTATACATGGTGAGATCCTCACGCCTAAGCAATATTTATTTTTCAAACTGCATTGCACTGAATCGGTTTTCCAGCTACTATGTTAGCCTTGTGCATACTGTTCCCACTGTCCATGTCCTGTTCACTCCCACCCATCGCCTCCCCTCCCCCAGGTGGATTCTAGTGCAATCGACCAAACACAGGGTGTTTTAGGGCTAGCTCACTTTGACCCAGAAAACAGTCGTGCATAAGTCCGGTGCGTCAACGAAAATGTGCTCATTTTGTGTGAGGCCCCGGTGAAACATTATTCGAGCGGTAATTCTATGTCATCGTTTCTCTCTCCCTCTCTGTCTATCTCTCTCTCTCTCTCTCTCTCTCTCTCTCTCTCTTCACCACATGGATACGCGGTCTAGCAATATAACAGATAACACATGTGAATTCAGGTCGACATAATAACATTAGTTTCAACGAATCGATCAACAGTGAATGTTTCCCTCGTAGGTTTGTTCCTTCTTATTAAATCCCTCCACGCTAAAAAAAAAAAACAAAATGTTGTCCTGGGGGCGTTTGTCTGGTGTGTGGTAGTGGTAGTGGTGGTCAGAAATCTGTCGATGACTGGTGCAATACTGTACTGAACGGACATTGCCCAGATCGCGCATATTGCGCAATCAGTTATCGCAACCGAATAACGCCGGTTAGACAGCAACAAATCATCAATTATCAATCTCGGATTGGAACAATCCGGAAATCCAGGTTTAGGGTCACACAGGCCATACAATAACAGAACAGTATTTCGTTTTCGTTTGCGACCGTCCGACCGTGTTCAAGAGCTGATTTTATAAATTCTAATTATTATTATTATTGTTGTTGTTGTTGTTGTTCCGTTCTTAACATTTGGTTTGACAACGTTCGAGCATCTTTGTATGGAAGCTGGAACCGTTTTCACAATAGGCTGACTTGTAATCCAGTTTGAAGTGTAAACAACTTACAAAATTTGTGTTCCTCCATCAACAAAGTAAAGTCTTGTTTTAAATTTGCTCACAAGATTCTAGATGACCCTCTTCATCAACTACACCCTGATCTTTCGTCTTGTCGTTCCCATCCGTCCACACGCTCCTCATTTCGACAGCTACCCTCTCGCATTAACATTTATAAAAATTCCCCTGTACCCTACCTGGCCCGACTACTTACCAAAAAGGAACAGGTCTCAAATGAACTACGTCAAATGCTTTGTACATGATACGTATATCACCGACCTTGTTTGCCTTTTGTTTTGATTATTTTTATTTCATTCTGCGCGACGAACAATGTACATTTTTAACTGAAATGTAAGCATATATGCTTACAAAAGTTATAAATACAATAAAAAAAATCTGGGCGAGGTTTTCCGACAGAAAATCTTTCATCCGATTGGCACGACACGTATCATCTCCTCCGGTGTACCAGAGATTATTTTATTAAGGATAGAATGAGAAGTGTGTGTGTGTGTGTGAACTGTTTACAGCTGAGATTTGAAGCTGGATCCATTGTTTTGCCAGCACTTCTAAGTTGTCTCGTGGTGATCTACTAGGTGCTTTTAAAAGATACCTTGGACAGAATAGTAAAAAGCTGACCACTCGAGCCTCAGTTTTCTACACTGACACAGAAACTGATGCATTGATGGAACACTTTCCATTCTGTCCCTCAGCATGCCTTTATTGTCATCAGTGCTCGGGCCTGTCCCCTTGTCGAGTTCAGCCACACACACACACACATACTGTCTTCGTTTTCTTCCCAGCAGTGTTCTGTTATACTTTTTTCCATAAATTACGGGGTTTCTCATCGACAGCATACAGCGACTGGTTTTGTTACAATGTGTAGACTATTGAAATTTTTGTTCTGTCTCTTCTGAACAGTCAAGGTTGAGTGATTTAATCTGGATAGTTGGGAGTATTCCAGAAATATATACCAATCTGTGCTCTGTCTGATACAGTACCAGTCATCGTTCAAGGGATGACAGATGTTACGGTCTTTGTTAGGTCCACTCTGCACTGTCTCTACCAATTGACCAAAAATGTGGAGTTGATTCAATTTCTAAGGTGAATTCGTCGTGTATTTAGCAAATGAAGCGTGAACTGAAAAGATAGGAAACACTGATTGGGTCTCATCAGCAGTACGAATGTGAATGTTTCCAACCGAGTCATAATCCGGAGGCTAGTGCTGAGATGAGCAGGGCCTGTGGCCCTTAACATGCTCGCAAAGATGAGTTATGCTATATTGTGTAAATGGAAAATGAGAACCGGTCTGATCATCTGCCCGGTGACCAAGTGGGTAGCATGCTTGCGTTCTACTCATGAGATCCCGGGTTCGCGATCCCCAGTGGGGTCGATGGATTCGCACTGCTGATGAGAGCCAGC